GGATCAAGATGAATAATCTTAAAGAGGCATTCATTCAGCAGTGGTCGAAAAAGACTGATGATTATGAGGATCATATCTGAGAAAATTCCATTAAATGTAAAGCGTACACAACTAAGTATGAAAACAGATGCAAAAATAGGCTATGCTTTCAGGTATATTAGCAAAACGCTAGTTTTCAACGCTTTCCATAATGATAGCCACCTAGAAGTTTTTCGTACAGAACAATGTATCTTGCTGAATGAGTAATTTGGCTGATGTATGCCATGGTGTTAAAGCAGTGATGATATTCAGATCGTTTTCGTTTTTTGAGGATTAGTGTTTCCTGTGCTTGTATTTAGCGATAACGTATTAAGGAAGTATTCAAGCAGCAAGATCCACCGAGAGACTGATTGCCTGCAGGGGCCAACTGTGCTGAACGTAAAGTTTGCAATTAATTTATTAATTTAATTAAGTTAAAAGTAATCTTATTGAAAAATGTACAAAAGCGCGGTTTATACACAACTTAAGAAAATTGGTTAAAATCGCGCTTTTAACCAGTGCCGACGATTCGGCTCGTAACTCGCGGTCTTTCTTCCAGTTGGGCAGCGTTTATCTCAGCGATTCGTTCTTTTTGAATCGCAACCTTTTGATTTCGAACGGTTAAACATCTGTAGTCCCCAGAACGAACTGCAGAAATCAATGCTGTCCATCCGGGCCATGAGATACGAGTTGAATCATCAGTACTGGTTATTCACCCGATTGACCAATTTGCTGTCGCTGTATAAGCATAAACTGTTTTTATACATTTTGCGGTTTGAAGTATTTTTCGGTATTCAGTCTCCAACGCATGAACGAATTCTTCGAAGTAAATATGTTCACATAATAAGTGTATAATTGATTAACGTTAGAGTTAATTAGCGTTTTAAAACTAACATGTAATTAACTCACAAAATACAAATATGATGAACAGCGCTGTTTGTCATTTCTGTGAAACGTGAGTTGTATTTGCACCTGTTTTTGCGGTTATGCCCTTCGTGAGAGGAGCGAATCGAATCGTGCGAACGCTACTTTTCTTCCGTAGTCTGCGTAACAGGCGCTTCGTCTTTTCGTTATTTATTTTCAGTGGACTGTCGGCTGCTACTCGGGGTTTACTGTTACTATTTCTAGGGCTAAAGATTCTATGTATCATGCTTTGGGCTTCGCTACTTCGTCATTCCTGCAAGCTTTAATGACTTGTGACTTTGTAAGTAATTTTTTCAACGTTCTTTCACTCTTTTAGTATTTCTGACTAACCGGCACTCGTCTCATAGTACTATACTATGTAGTGAATATGCTTATGTGGTCATTTTTTTGCAGCGCTTATGTGTGTGATACGTGCTTCTCGTCTTGTACTGTCGTCTTTCAGTTTGTCGCATCAGTTTTGCATATTGCTTTGCAGCACGAATTGTTTGTGTGTATGTGATATAATTTCTATACCACTGTTCTTGAGGGTGCCGATAATCAATCAACATTGTTGGGTGGTCGCTTCGCGCATTAAGACGCTGATACGAGGTTAGTTCTAAGCTACAGTATCCTTCCATGTGTGAACTTTAGGGCGACATCGATCAGGCAGTGGCAGTGACTAAGAATGCGGCTGACGTTTGTGAACGGTTTCGCCGGCAGTC